GGGGTTAGGTAAATATGTTATTTATGATACATCCTAGATAACTAAGTACAATATTAAGTAAAAATGTAGATAATATTATTTTTTTGAGGATAAACAAATTGAGATCACCTGCAAGGGCGTAAATGCCATTAGAACAATCCTGAATACCACGCCTTTGAAATTCACCTCCCATGGTGTGTGTTTTGCCGGATCCAGTCTGACCATAAGCAAAGCAAGTCGCCATGCCTTTCTCGAAAATGGATTCGACTAGAGGCTGGGCCGTGTACCGATATACCTACAAGTAAATATATAATATAAGGGAAGCAATATAATTGATATTTCAAACATAGCAATCAGAATTCGAGTTAAGTGGAAGCATGTTTAAGAATACTAAAGTGAAAAAAGTGTGGAATACAGGATGAAATAACTAGCAATAAAATAACGTTTTAATTATTACTTTTGGAATTCATGTTAATGAGGATTAGGATGGTATTTAAGGACCAACAATTTCAACATATCAAATAAGTTGTGAGATATTGTATGCCATAAAAGAAAACTAGGAACTAATTGACGAATTGTAATATATGAAACGATAAGGACAGTAAATAAAAAATAAAGTTAAGTTCTGCATATTCACCAGATCATTTTCGACCATTTCATCAAAAGCATAGTCGAATCTAAACTGCTGATTCTCGAGATACTTAGTAAGATCAACCTTGGATCGGGGCTCGTGGATAATTACGTGCTCTTTGTCCGGAACGGTAGTTACATCGATTTCTTTTCGATCAAGCTCTGTGAAATATAAAAGCAAGAAGAGAAGATGAAGAAAAGAAACATGAGACAGATCAGCAAGGCTTGATCAGAATTTACAACCATATGAATTTTTGATGGTGTAAGAGCATAAGTACTATAAAAAAACGAGAACAATGAAAATACAAAGAAATGCGATGAGACGTAAAATAACTTTTTTCGTGTGTAAGTAGAGTTTCGAGACTACCAGTAAGTCAGAAATATGAAATGTATTCACCACATTTCGTTTAAGCTGACGAAGGAATGGTAGTAGAATTTTCCCACAATGAAATGCGTAGAACTGACGTTTCCATTGAATTTCACATAGCCTTGCTTTCCCAAAAGTTGTTCTCATCCAAGGCGGACTGCAGTTTCGACCTTGCATAGGTCTTATCCACACCCTCAGCGGGAGTCAAGCCGTGACATTGAAAAATGTGAGCTTGATACGTTAACTACTCGGCCAAATTGCCACAAATAAAATAATATATCCCTGTAGGACACAACAAAATCCAAAGTAAAAAGCAAAAGCAAAGCTAAATCAGTGTTCATGTGACCTCAGTCTATGCAAAAATTAGTTAGGGAAACTTGGAAAAATTTCGTTAAACTCACAGTTAGCACCATCAGCAAGATATAAAAAAATCCATAAGCTAAGGGTCTATTAGGTAATGGGCTTTAGGTGAATAAATTACCTTCTTAAGACATGAAGCATTCGAAGAAAATGAGAGTTTTGAAAGATCTCCTTTCATTTTGAATGAGAGTACATTATGAAGAGATTCGTAGGTCAGTCCCACTAAATGACGTCGGCTGATTCGAGGCGTACTGCAGCCGTTTGGCCTTAATACGACATTCAGCTTGATGCAATCAAGGAGAAATCCACCAGCGTTTCTGATGAATACTGACTGAAATTTCGTTCGTTCATGACTCGACCTTACGAAGGCCTTAAGTGTCAAGAAGATTTACTGGCTTTTATATTATATATGTATTATCATTGCTAGATAATTTTAGATATAGATAAATATACGAAGGTTTGATTGATTCATTT